TTACCAAATCTTGATATCCATACATTTAGCAAAAATATTGCGCTTATATACATAAATTTCACTATAAAATTGTTTTACGATCGGTCCCCTCCAGAAAATCACTTAAATGCACAATATTAATTACCAAATAATTATATAGATACAGAATTTTGAAATTTTGTCTTTATATACATAATTGGTCATAGCTCCCATACAAGGTCCTTTTACGAAAATCTCTTAAACGCACATTACTTATTACCAAATAAAGCTATACTAAATTACGATATAGATACAAAGTTTGACTGAAATATAGCTTTTATGTACAGAAATTTTACTTAAAGAATTGTTTACGATCGGTCTATAATTGATCTTATCTCCCATACTAGGAACTGCCCCTAAAAGCGCTTTAACCTTATTTAACTATTTGCATTATCAATTTGTGTAGAACAAAATTATATATACATATGTATGTATTTTGAAAATTCTTAAATCTTTCACACACATGCATACATGCAAATTATTAAATATTGCTAAGCGCTATTAAAATATTAAAGAAAATGGCGTTTGTAATGTTCAATAAATCTTGGAATTGTAACAGATCTAAGCTGTTTAAATCTTTGGATTTTTCTATTTAAGACATGAGAAGACTTATTTCTACAAATATTTGATCAATTAGAAAAGTATTAATATAAAAGTAGCTGGTGAAGGGTATTTAAGATTCGGCTCAGCCGAATATAGCACTCTAACTTGTTTATATTAAATTCTATTAGGAACTAGTACAATAACAAATTAAATATTTTTAAATATTTGTATTTTTCTTGAAGAAATAAAAATATTTCAGGAAAGTTGATTTGAATATTAGCTTTTCAAAAAAATTTTTTTTTAATAAAAAGAATTTCATTCATAACTTATTGAATAAAATATAATAAAAATCCATTTGTACAGTAAAAATACAATTTTAAAAATATAAATTATATAACTCTTATTTTATTTAAAATACTATGCATTTTACTTAATATAAAAAAAATATTTTGAAAACTGTTAAATACAATTTGTTTATATTTTACTTCTATTAATTTAAATAATATTTTTTATTTTTTTACCAAATGTATAAACGGTAATTATTATCTTTTTTGAAATAGTATAAATAAAATTCAATATAATTAATTTTTCGCAGTATACTAAATTTTAAAAATAATTAATTTTTTAAAATTTTTAGAATAAAATTTACAGCTATGGCTTTCACATACAAATTTAATTTTGTTTTCATTTTTGTAAAACACAGTTCTAAACACGAAATTAAATAAAATGTCCAAACAAAATGACAAAGCTGAAAATAAAGTACTTCCATATCAGATTATAAGAAAGTCATTACTTTTCATTAGCCTTCGTGAAGGTATAGAAATATTACTGAGAAATTTTTTTCCGATCGGTCTATAACTGGTTATAGCTCCCATACAAGGTACCCTTCCGAAAATCACTTAAACTCGCATAACTCATTACTTAATTAAGATATCCATACAAAATTTGGTACAAGTATTGCTTATATGCACAGAAATATTACTGAGAAATTTTCGCTACATAACTGGTCATAGCTCCCATACTAGGTCCCTTCCCGAAAATCAGTTAAACGCACATAACTCATTACTAAATAGAGATATCTATATAAAGTTTGGCAGAAGTATTGCTCATATACAGAGAAATATTACTGTGAAATTGTTTCCTATCGGTTCATAATTGATCATAGCAGCTATACAAGGTCCCTTTCAGAAAAACACTTAAAGGCACATAACTCATTACCAAATAATGATATAAATAAATACTATTTTTACAATGTTCCCTCCCGAAAATCACTTAAAAAAACATAACTCATTACCAAATCTTGATATCCATACATTTAGCAAAAATATTGCGCTTATATACATAAATTTCACTATAAAATTGTTTTACGATCGGTCCCCTCCAGAAAATCACTTAAATGCACAATATTAATTACCAAATAATTATATAGATACAGAATTTTGAAATTTTGTCTTTATATACATAATTGGTCATAGCTCCCATACAAGGTCCTTTTACGAAAATCTCTTAAACGCACATTACTTATTACCAAATAAAGCTATACTAAATTACGATATAGATACAAAGTTTGACTGAAATATAGCTTTTATGTACAGAAATTTTACTTAAAGAATTGTTTACGATCGGTCTATAATTGATCTTATCTCCCATACTAGGAACTGCCCCTAAAAGCGCTTTAACCTTATTTAACTATTTGCATTATCAATTTGTGTAGAACAAAATTATATATACATATGTATGTATTTTGAAAATTCTTAAATCTTTCACACACATGCATACATGCAAATTATTAAATATTGCTAAGCGCTATTAAAATATTAAAGAAAATGGCGTTTGTAATGTTCAATAAATCTTGGAATTGTAACAGATCTAAGCTGTTTAAATCTTTGGATTTTTCTATTTAAGACATGAGAAGACTTATTTCTACAAATATTTGATCAATTAGAAAAGTATTAATATAAAAGTAGCTGGTGGAGGGTATTTAAGATTCGGCTCAGCCGAATATAGCACTCTAACTTGTTTATATTAAATTCTATTAGGAACTAGTACAATAACAAATTAAATATTTTTAAATATTTGTATTTTTCTTGAAGAAATAAAAATATTTCAGGAAAGTTGATTTGAATATTAGCTTTTCAAAAAAATTTTTTTTTAATAAAAAGAATTTCATTCATAACTTATTGAATAAAATATAATAAAAATCCATTTGTACAGTAAAAATACAATTTTAAAAATATAAATTATATAACTCTTATTTTATTTAAAATACTATGCATTTTACTTAATATAAAAAAAATATTTTGAAAACTGTTAAATACAATTTGTTTATATTTTACTTCTATTAATTTAAATAATATTTTTTATTTTTTTACCAAATGTATAAACGGTAATTATTATCTTTTTTGAAATAGTATAAATAAAATTCAATATAATTAATTTTTCGCAGTATACTAAATTTTAAAAATAATTAATTTTTTAAAATTTTTAGAATAAAATTTACAGCTATGGCTTTCACATACAAATTTAATTTTGTTTTCATTTTTGTAAAACACAGTTCTAAACACGAAATTAAATAAAATGTCCAAACAAAATGACAAAGCTGAAAATAAAGTACTTCCATATCAGATTATAAGAAAGTCATTACTTTTCATTAGCCTTCGTGAAGGTATAGAAATATTACTGAGAAATTTTTTTCCGATCGGTCTATAACTGGTTATAGCTCCCATACAAGGTACCCTTCCGAAAATCACTTAAACTCGCATAACTCATTACTTAATTAAGATATCCATACAAAATTTGGTACAAGTATTGCTTATATGCACAGAAATATTACTGAGAAATTTTCGCTACATAACTGGTCATAGCTCCCATACTAGGTCCCTTCCCGAAAATCAGTTAAACGCACATAACTCATTACTAAATAGAGATATCTATATAAAGTTTGGCAGAAGTATTGCTCATATACAGAGAAATATTACTGTGAAATTGTTTCCTATCGGTTCATAATTGATCATAGCAGCTATACAAGGTCCCTTTCAGAAAAACACTTAAAGGCACATAACTCATTACCAAATAATGATATAAATAAATACTATTTTTACAATGTTCCCTCCCGAAAATCACTTAAAAAAACATAACTCATTACCAAATCTTGATATCCATACATTTAGCAAAAATATTGCGCTTATATACATAAATTTCACTATAAAATTGTTTTACGATCGGTCCCCTCCAGAAAATCACTTAAATGCACAATATTAATTACCAAATAATTATATAGATACAGAATTTTGAAATTTTGTCTTTATATACATAATTGGTCATAGCTCCCATACAAGGTCCTTTTACGAAAATCTCTTAAACGCACATTACTTATTACCAAATAAAGCTATACTAAATTACGATATAGATACAAAGTTTGACTGAAATATAGCTTTTATGTACAGAAATTTTACTTAAAGAATTTTTTACGATCGGTCTATAATTGATCTTATCTCCCATACTAGGAACTGCCCCTAAAAGCGCTTTAACCTTATTTAACTATTTGCATTATCAATTTGTGTAGAACAAAATTATATATACATATGTATGTATTTTGAAAATTCTTAAATCTTTCACACACATGCATACATGCAAATTATTAAATATTGCTAAGCGCTATTAAAATATTAAAGAAAATGGCGTTTGTAATGTTCAATAAATCTTGGAATTGTAACAGATCTAAGCTGTTTAAATCTTTGGATTTTTCTATTTAAGACATGAGAAGACTTATTTCTACAAATATTTGATCAATTAGAAAAGTATTAATATAAAAGTAGCTGGTGGAGGGTATTTAAGATTCGGCTCAGCCGAATATAGCACTCTAACTTGTTTATATTAAATTCTATTAGGAACTAGTACAATAACAAATTAAATATTTTTAAATATTTGTATTTTTCTTGAAGAAATAAAAATATTTCAGGAAAGTTGATTTGAATATTAGCTTTTCAAAAAAATTTTTTTTTAATAAAAAGAATTTCATTCATAACTTATTGAATAAAATATAATAAAAATCCATTTGTACAGTAAAAATACAATTTTAAAAATATAAATTATATAACTCTTATTTTATTTAAAATACTATGCATTTTACTTAATATAAAAAAAAATATTTTGAAAACTGTTAAATACAATTTGTTTATATTTTACTTCTATTAATTTAAATAATATTTTTTATTTTTTTACCAAATGTATAAACGGTAATTATTATCTTTTTTGAAATAGTATAAATAAAATTCAATATAATTAATTTTTCGCAGTATACTAAATTTTAAAAATAATTCATTTTTTAAAATTTTTAGAATAAAATTTACAGCTATGGCTTTCACATACAAATTTAATTTTGTTTTCATTTTTGTAAAACACAGTTCTAAACACGAAATTAAATAAAATGTCCAAACAAAATGACAAAGCTGAAAATAAAGTACTTCCATATCAGATTATAAGAAAGTCATTACTTTTCATTAGCCTTCGTGAAGGTATAGAAGCTGTATAAGTTTTTTCACACGATTTGCATTTACTGATTTCTCTAATTACCTGTAAGCGATTGTGGTGAGTACTTACCTATAATGACATCGCCGTGTTAAAATAATGACTTAAAATGCTATTGTGTAAGTAAATTTTAGCATTTTAACCCCTTACATGACAATGAAAGTTTTAGCTTGGTATTTTTATAGAACACTTTCCAGAAAAAACTCGGTAATGGCTTGTACTTACATAACCACTTACTTTTCAATGACTAATACTTACAGTCTGCATTACTTTTAAGCACTCTTATAATGACTTACATATAATCATATACGTAAGTACTTTATTTTGAGTTTTGCCGTTTTACCCAGCTGAAACATGGTAATGAATTGTACTTGCAAAAAAACTTACTTTTCAATGAATGTAAGTTTTTGCTGGGTTGTTTTTCTTTAAAATTATCAAACTGAAAAAACATAACCATTAATTATAGATTAATACAATAAGTTTTTTTGTATTTTTGTAATTTTGTATTTATGCAAAAAATCGGAGACTGAAAATAAGTAAATGTAAAAAATCGTACATCGAGAATTTTAAATTTTATTGGAATTACATTACTGTATACTAAATAATTGTGGCAATTAAGTTCCCATTATCTTATTTTGATGTAGATAGTTAATAGATAAAAGTAATTACTTACGTACATTTGATTGTATTATTATTATTTAAACAAATATTTATTATATTGTTAATTATCTTATTTCTTAATTTCACCATAACAAATATATTACATAAAATATTTTATACAAAGTTTTCATATTGCTTTTATTTATTATAAATACATATATTCATGTTGATTAAATTCAAAATGTTGCCACTGAAAGTTCCCGTTCATCGTAGACAGCTTTAGCGTAATTAATCTGTAATTATAAAAAATATCCCATTATTTATTCTGATCAAGAACAAATCAAAATTATTTTTATTATTTGTTATAAAGTGACTCAAACTTTAATAAAAAGTTCACACGAGCAGTTGAATTACTTAATTCGGCCTCTGAACGACGATAGCCAATTAACCCGTTTCTACGACACATTCGTAATTCGTTTTGAAAGTTCATCGCCCTGTTGTTTTTTCATTCATTATTTTTTTGTCTTTTTTTGGAATATTAGTGTGTGTGTATGATACAAAAATACGTTTGTTACATTATTTTAACAAATTAAGTTATAGCTGATTATGATAAATACCCGATAAAAACAAGTAAGAAATTATAGTTACAAAAATAAAATTTAATTTAGTTTTCATAATAAAGCATTTAATTTGAATTGTATCTTGTCTCAGATATAGTTAAGCCATTTATTGTTGAATAAAATTGTTGACATTTAAGTCAAATTTTGAAGTGGGCTTTGTATAAGGGTTATGGTCAAATGAGAACCTATAATTATAAAATTCATGAGAGTCATCAAGGCTAGTATAGAACATAATTAAACAAAATTATGAACTCGAAATCCCTATTCGTAGGGTTCAGTTGTATGGGCGCTAGGTGAAATCATGGACCGATGTTACCATAGAAGATCACGTGCCAAATTTCATTGAATTATCATCAAAATTGCGACCTGTAGTTTGATTACAAGATTTACAAGCCCTATTCAGGGGCTCAGTTGTATGGGGGCTAGGTGAAATAATGAACCGTCCCTGGGACAATAGAAGATCATTTACCAAATTTCATTGAATTACAAAAATTTTGTTTAAAACTTTTAGAAAATATTTATAAACAATTAATAATCAGATTAGTTAATCTAGTCAAATATTTAATCTGATGTTAATCCCCTTTGATGTTTTTGAGTACAAGATTAAACTTCGCAGTGTTGCCATACAAAACAACAGAAAATGTCACTATTTGTTATCAAAACAATGCATGTTTTATAAAAAAGAAGAAGACAATTGTAAATTTAATATGAAAATTAATGAAAACTTAAATTTAAAACGAAAAAAAATATATTTTGGGTGTGCATAATTTATACTAATCAATAAATAGAACATTTTAATGTTTATATTTATAAAAATTATATTAATGTTTTTTGCATCAGCTGTTTACACTTTTGCATTTCATGCTTAAGTTTAAACCACCTCTATTGGGCGCTTAAACTTGCAAACAAAATTAACTAATTGAGTATTCAAAGACAACTTTCGAGGATTAATTTTAATTTAATCGCTAATCTTTCACCTAAAGATTGGCCTTAAAAAAGCGATTAATGAACATTAAATAAGGGAAAATCGCAACGAATTTAATAGACGTATTTAAAATGTAATAAAACTATATGAAAGACTTTCATATGAGGCATGTTTTTTAGTTCAGTTCAAAAAAATCTAATTTTGAAACAATTTTTTCTAGAATTTTAATGGCACAATATTTTAAGGAATTAAAATGATAAATGGGGTCGAAAATGGCTTAATTAATATTGTGCACAGAAAAAAATATGCACAATTTTTTTCTTAACAATCGTTTGCTTAAATTTAATTTCGATTTTTATAAATATTTTTATTTGGTTTTATAACGATTTTTTTTTGATTTTCACACAGAAGGAAAATATTTTCTAACAAACACTTTAAATTTAATTTTCATTAAATATTTTTATTGGTTCAATGTTTTTTGTTTGAGTTTTATTTATATGTCAGCTTATGGAATACAACAATAAAACAAGTTTTGGAATATACTAAAATGAATTGATATAATTCTTACTTGGTTTATAACATTTAATGTATAAGTATTCCAGTTTTCACAGTACAAAATAATAGTTTCCACTTAGAATGTGAAATAAAATTGTTGTAAGTATATACAGTGAATCAATTAACACATTTGTCTATGTAAAATTTTATAAATTTTAAGAAAAAACTTTATCCGAACAATTATTTTTAGCAAAATTAAGCAATTTGTTGTATTTTTTAGAGAATATTTTTCATTTAAATTTTCTACCATAAAAAGTAAAATCGTGATATTAATTAACGAGATTTTTGATAAAATGTGAACGTATTGTTAATTTTTTAGGGAAGGTGCCCATTGGAGGGTCTGTTACAACAAAGCATCATTAGCAAGTACAGGTAATTTTGAGGAGTCGAATCCTAAAAGCGAGGAGGAAATCACTCACTCACCAGAAGACAGAATAGCAGTGCTGTTCAAAATTGGGAAAGTGTCGATTAAAAAGACTGCTCTTGCTATGCCAGATAAGGACACCGCAGTGCCATCAATGGTACCCACTGCATCAATAGCCACTTCAGGTTACTTGGAGGAGTCAAATCCAAAGAGCTGGTATATGATCACTAACTCGCTGGAAGACAGTTTAAATGGATGACAGTGATTGAGGTTATCCAAATAAACCTCCATCGGAGCGAGACGGCTACCAATGCCCTGATGGCTAAAATTAACACGGGTAAGATACATATAGCTTTAATCCAGGAACCTTGGACGAAAGGTTTCTGGATTAAATCACGTAAATTTCCAACTTTTCTACGCTGATACAGGGTCTCGACCGAGAATATGTAAATTATGTCACAAGAACTTATGTTTTCTCCTCTCAATAGGATTATCCACATCGGATGCAACGGTACTGAAGCAAGGTCGTGGCAACATATACCTTGCATCTGTTTACCTGCCTTTCGATTCTCCGACACTACCACCAACGTCGGAGCTGATGAAACTGGTCGAAGAGGCACAAAGGAAAAGTAAAAAAATTGTAATAGGTTGTGATGCCAACTCTCACCATGTATCTTGGGGTAGTACAAACACCAATCGCAGGTTACAAGCCCTTATGTATTTCCTTAATACTAAAGACTTGATCACATCGAACTTAGGTAATAAAGCTACCTTCGTCAATAGAATCAGAGAAGAAGTATTAGATATAATTATATGGAGGAGGCTCTGAATACGGCCTTGAGCTGGGCTCAACCGAGAAGCCTAAATGTTAACTCGGCAAAAACGGAAATCTGTCTTTTCACAAGAAAGACAAAAATGTCTACGTATACTGAACCTTGCTTCCTAGGCAAGAAGATACCAGTGACAGACAAAGTTCAGTACTTAGATGTAATCCTCGACCGGAAATTAAAATGGAGACACCACATAGAGGATAGGATCATCAAGGCACATCGGTGCTGGGCGATATGTAGGAGAACTATAGGCATGAAATGGGGTCTTAGTACTACTATGACAAATTGGCTTTATAAAAGTGTAATTAGACCAATTCTAGCTTATGCTTCAATAATCTGGTGGACTGCTTTAGACAAAAAGTGCAATATCAAACTACTACAGGGAGTTCAGCATGCTGCTTGGGTATAAGTGATGCCATGTGTACTACTTCAACCAAGGCTCTGGAAACGTTGCTAGATATTCCACCCATTGAAACATATTAAAGATATGAGGCGGCGCTTACAGCCGAACGGCTCTTTACTTTAGGCGAACTGGCCAAAAGCGGTTATAGGACACGTCATCAATGTATACTGGACACATTGGAACGTGCCTGATCGTATACCAGACACAGAATATGTCGGAAACTTTGAAACGCTGATCCCAGATAGAATGTCTTGGTCAAGCGGAACATTAGAGCAAATACCAGTAGGTATCCGTTGTTACACGGATGGCTCTAAATTGGGGGGCAAAGTGGGTCTGGGGTTCTATATTGAAGACCCAGAAACAGAAATATACCACCGTTTATCAAGTCATAACACAAGCTTCCAGGCAGAAGTACGAGCAATATGCGTAAATTGGATAAATATTGCACTCACAGCGCTTAATATATGTATTTACCGATAGCCAGAAGGCAATTAGGGCGATATTAGGCGATAGAACTAAATCTAAGACCGTATTGGATTGTAAGAAAGCTTTAACAGAATACTCTCCCAGAGGTAAGGTTGACATCATATGGGTACCAGCCAACTCGGGAGTAGTCGGTAACGAAAGGGCGAATGTAATAGCTTTAAAGGGTAGGGAGCTCGACACACTTAACCTGACAAACGCGAAACCATTCGACGAAACAAAAGCTGAACTAAAAATATGGGTGAGAGAATACCATAAGGCCTCTTGGAATAATAAAACAGTGGCTAAAACCATGGAGATCCTATGGGGTGACCCTGATGAGAGCAAGAAGAAAAATCCCCTCAAAATGAGCAAGTCTGAAGTTAGTATGATGGTACGTATTCTGAGTGGACACACAGGATTACGAGCAAATCTATGCAAAATTGGTCGTGCGGATTCAGACGAATGTAGGGCATGTGGAGAAGACCGCGAAACTCTGGAGCACTTTCTTTGCCAATGCCAGGCATTCGTCGAAGTTAGATCCAGGTATCTTGGAAGTGATGTTATTCCGGAAATAACATTCCTGTCTAACACTGATTGGAAGATTCTTAGGAATTACGTTCAGGAAACTGAGTTTATGAACACTGAAAAATAATTCATTCAGTTCCCTTTTTTTACATGATACTACATCAATCTTCGGATTTGATGTAGTATACATCCTCCTATCAACCTACCTACCTACCTAATTTATTAGGTCAATAAAGTATTTTGCTTTTTTAGGTTTTTTGTTCATTTTTAATATTGCTGTGTTATTTTATAAAATTTAATATTTTATTACTCCTATATCATAAATTCCATGGCCTTCAGATTTCTTTAATTTTTTGTTAAGACATACTCTATTAGACACATAAGACATATCAATTTTAAATTCTTTAAAATTCCAAAAGACTCGCTTTTTATAGCGATTTTAATTTATTCGAAAGCTACAAAAAATCAGAAAGGTATAAAACTTTGAAAGCTGGATTTTTTTTTGTTTAAAACCCCAATCTATTACTATGGATTAGCTTTTTCATTCTAATATAATTTTTATATTAAAAAGTTAAAAATAATGCATTTTTTAAAGAAATGCATTTTTGAAATCGTTCTCCCTGTTGAAAAAGTTTTAAAAGTGCATATATCGATTATTTGAAGCTTTTTATGCAAAATATAAAAATATTTTGTTGTAACGCGCATTACATCTTTTTTTTAATATTTTGTATGGGAAAATTTTTAAATATTCTTTATATTTTATGCATTTAACAGAATTTAAAACTGCTTAAAATACATTACTGATATGAATTGGGATGCAAATATTTAAATTCAATTACAACTAATGTGCACTTTCATAAAAATGCATTTTTAAATAATATTTTTTAAGATAAATGCATTTTTAGTTTAAGTCAGTTCAAATGTCCATAAAAAATATATAATTTTGTATTTTATATAAATTTATCAATAATGCACTTATAAGATATGTTTAACATGGAGGAAAATGTAGAAAATACACCCAATATGCATTTGCATTAAAAATGCATTTATCTTAACAAATATTTTTTAGAAATTAAATTTTATGAAAGAGTGCATTAGTTGTAATCGAATTTAAATATTTACATCCCAATTCAAATCAGTAATGTTTTTGTAGCAGTTTTAAATTCTGTTAAATGCATAAAATATCAATAAAATTAAGAAATTTTCGGATATAAAACATTTTTAAAAATCGACAAAAATAGATGTAATGCACGTCACAGCAAAATATTTTTATATTTTGAATAAAAAACTTCAAATAATCGATTTATGCACTTTTAAAACTTTTTCAACAGGGAGAACAATTTTAAAAATGCATTCAAAAAGTGCATTTCTTTAAAAAATGCACTATTTTAAACTTTTTAATATAAAAATTGTATTAGAATGAAAGAGCTCATCCATAGTTATAAATTGGGGTTTAAATCAGAAAAATCCGATAAAAACTCTCAAATTAAATTAATTTAACAAATTAAAATCGCCATAAAAATCGTGTTTCTTGAAATTTTTGAAAATAAACAACGGAGTTGTTTTATTTACTACATAATAAACATATTGTCATATAAAATCCAAAAAGCCCTAAGTTACAAAAAAATCAAAATCGACTTTTTGATTGATTATGATGCACCGTATCAAAATACAAGTTCCTGCTAAATTTTACACCCCTACAATTAAAATCAACGTCCCTATCAAATAAATTATAAAATGTTATGTTCTAAAATTACCTTAAAATTCATGAAAATTTTAAAATTTTTTGAATTTTTTACTTCGAAACTGTGAAATGATATAAGTTGTCATCAAATAAAACAAAAATGGCACTTTTAGCGAATCCTTTTATTTATAGATTCCAGTATCTTTATGATAGAGAGTAATTTTTAATTTACTCTCAATCGTCTTATAAACAAAGATGAGTAATGCCATTGAAATCTCAATCGCTAACAAAACACCAAAAACAAACAACAAACAAAATATGATATTTCTTATAAATAAAAGGTTATTTAAAGTTAACACATAATATCATTAAAAATATATAATTGTTTTAATACTTCGTGTTACAAACATATTATTAAATAAAAATTTACACAAAATCGCTAAGAGAAAGACCCTCTATATTGTTTTAAAAACGCTAGATTGTCAATATTTATTGATTTATCACAATAAACAAACTCTTTTAAAAACTAATTGATGATAAATAAAATTAGACTAAATCTAATTACAAATATTTTTTTAATATTTGTGTGTTATTAATTTATATATTTCTTTCTAAAAATGTAAAACTTACCAAATTTTCTTTGGTTTATTTACATATTCATTAATAAACCATATGTTGTGAACACATGTTTGATATTTTTTACTAGGGAAAAAATATTCAGTAAAATTAAAAGTTCTTTATCAACGAACTGTAATTTTTATCGCTCTGTTAAAATGACACTGATTTCATGTTAAAATAACATGAAAACATTTCATTTTAACATGAGCATCATTTTGATTTAAAGGGTTTTTATACATAGTAAATTCAACATGAAAATCATGTTGATTCTACGTGAAAATCATAACGTGAACAATGTTGAATTAAATATAATCTTACAGTTATTTCAACATGATGCCACTTTGTTTTAACATGATTTCTAATTGTTTTAAAGTGAAAAATTTTATTTTTGGTTTATTCTAAAATCATGTTGAATTAACATGAAATACCTATAAAGCAAAATTATAGTTGAGAAATGTTGATTCAACCTTGTTTCGCCGTTTTTACAATGATTTTTTTCTGTGTGTAGCAAAATAATTGAAATAAATAAATAATAAATAGGTACTTACACATCTTGAGGCTCTTTCAGCAATATCTTCAGTTTGACATCTGACTCTTGGCCTTGTAATCTTTGGTACATTTGTTGATATCTCAATATAATAATTAGGTAGTACTTTGCTTGATATAGTCGTGTTAGTTGTAATTGGATGACAGGATAGGACTTCACTTAAATGACATTCAAACATAATAGCAGGATCCTCTTCGCATCTTGAAAAAATTCTCACATATTCTGTCGATACCAAAAGTCTTAATTGCGCTTCTTTATCATTGCAAAGATTTGGCTCATAAAATATAAGCTTTTCTCCAAAATTTCGTCGATTTATTATATAAAGATACTGCTGACCTTTACTTTGTCGATAGGAATAGAAAGGTAAAAGTCCACCCGGTGCTCCAGTTACGCATCTTGGCAAACGCTTACGATCTGGTAGATAATGGTGTGAACCTCTACTTGTTTCTCTCACAGCGGTAGCAGTTTCAGATGCTAAATCCAGAACACCAATCAACGGTTTGGTAACCGTACCCACAATGCCTTTGCCGAGACCACTAAAAAATCCAGGAAGACCATCAGACTGAGCACCAACATAAGTATGTCGAACAATGCTCGTGACTCCACCAAGTAATCCAAACCCAAAACCTTTTAAACCAGCAGCTAAATGACCTCCCGATGTAGGATGTGCTACTTCCAAAATTTTTTGTCTTGTTTCATTATCGTGTTCATCTAAAACGACTCTTCCAAGGCTATCTGATAAAGTTTCCGTTAACTTTGCAGTGGAGTTTGATATACCATGTGTAACATTTTTAACCAAACTTTTGACTGATCCCTCAAAAATGAGGCCAGATACTCCTTCCGATAAATCATTTGCAAATCCCAACGGATTTCCCAAAAAATCAACACTTCCTAGAATAGATGCAGCATGCCACTTTAACTGATTCATATAATGAGCTTTAAGTGCCTTCCCATAGACTTCTAATGTTTCAAAATGATGTCTATCCGAAAACTTATCAAATTCTATAATAGCATCTTCGAACTTAATAAGGGTTAATCCCAAGGATTTTTTTATTTCTACTAGCTCAGTATTCAATTTAGGAGCAGTTAAAACACTTAGTCGTACCTGGAATAGATATAATGAATTAATTATGTGGGATATTATGGTTATAACTAAAATTAGGCTTTTTCCTTTTTCTCAACAAAAAAAAAACAAAAAAACACTTTTTTGAAATTGAAATGAATATACATATTAAGGTGGGTAGAAATAAGCTTTTCTCACGGATCAACTTCTGAAATTATATGTAAGGAAAAGAAGAAGCAATTCCATTTTATTTCAATGATATAGGATTGTGTGCATTCTGCATTACGATCGTATCTACGTTTTTTTAAGTTGTTTTTTTTGTGACGGAGCTTAGAATCGAAATGCCGAATACAAAAGTTGCCAAAAGGAGAAAATTTCGAGTCCAATTGAAATACATGAAATGATTAATTTTTGCACCATATTATGGCAAAATCATAATGTCTACAAAATTGTCTTTCCAAAAAGACAAAACTTAATTTGTCTCAAAAAAAATTTTGAGTTTTTAAAATTTCTCCAGAGAATTTCGTGATTCTGAAGATACATAAAAGTAGATATAAAACATAAAAAACATAAAATATAAAACATTTTTTTTAGTTTTGAAAAATTTTGCAAAAAAAATTATTTTTACCCTTACAAGATTCATAAATGTGCTAATACGTATTTTTTATTTTAACAGAATATCCAAGACTCCATTTTAAAACATTAAAAATTTTTCTAATTAAACTACGCAACAAATTTCAGGTCTTCGAATCTTTCCCAACAACGGGAAATGAAAGTAGACAATTTATATACCCAATTCCCCAAAGAGTTTTAAAAAGTTAGCTCGTATTGTTAATTTATAGGCATTTTAAACTTAGTTTTTTTAGGAAAATTTTCTCATATGTAATATCAAAAGAATTTTGAGCATTGCCCTCTCTGATTTTGATGAAATTCGGTACAAACCAGTGATTAAAATTACTAATATATTAGTAACCAAAATGCATATTTTCTCCTATGCATACGTATGTAATATTAAAATATAAATATATTTTATGAATATAATATATTTAATTGCTACCATTCGAAATATTTCGAGTATATTTGCTAAAAATATTTACCCATACAAACTATTGCATATTACAGCTTACAGACAAATATAAAATGTTTTCACATACAATATATTACGCAGCAACTCGCTAACATATTTATAATACCCACATATATTTCATATGGCTTGCCTATAATATTAAAATATTTTCCTACACAAATTATTCGAAGTCAACAATATTGAAGCCATGCAAGCAGTAATATACGAACATGAAATGTACGCAAGCAGAGCATATATGTGCCGACGAAAACACGAAACAAAACGATAGTCGCGACTATCAGGTTACAATATTTTTACTATCAAACTTAAATATTATTTACTATAGGAAATGACTTATGGTCTAAAATTTAACATTTCATGTTGAACTTGAAAAATTATAAAATGTGAAAAATGTATGCAAGATATAACCAAATTTTATTTAGAAAATAATTGAAAACGTTTATATCTATGTATGTTTTATGTATATTATGGGAAAAATGTATGCATGAAATAACCAAATTTTAATTAGAAAATTTTTGAATTGAATTATTGAATGTATGTATTTATTAAATTTATGTTTAATTTTTATGTGGAGTATTAAAATGTATGTATTTGTATTGATTGTAATATAATTAGAAAAAAATTATATAAATACTTAGAGGATCATATGAATGTAAAAATATATTCAAATATGCAACACCATTTATATCTGGTTTTGTATATACATACATATGTATGTATGTAAGTATGTGTGAAACAATAACAAAAAACACATTCGTCATAAAAATGACCTGTAACAGCACTTTTCTTTCCTACTTTTCACGCACATTCCATAACGGTGGATTACGATAGGTCATTTTTTCCCTGAATTGGTGGAGGGAAGAAGATATGTACGTGTGATGCAAAAATACATTCGTCATAAAAATGACCTGTAGTAGAAATTCTCTTCCTACTTTATCATTTTACGCACATTCCTTAACGATGGTTTACGCAAGATCCTTTTTTTTGCTTTACTTGAATTTGTGGTGGGGAGAAGAGGAAAGAAATATCATTATTATTTAGTCTCTCTCATGCAAATTCAAAAGGTTGGCAATGGCATATGCAAATTTATTAACACCTATATATTTTTTTCTTCGCGCCTGTTCATTCATTATTGTAAGATAATTGAGTGTATGTAATAATAATTTATAGAAATGTGACACATGCATATGAAAAACATACTTGTATATGTATGTAATACACTCATACATTTTTGTTGTTTTAACCTTTCACAATGTAAAATTACAAAAACAAATTTTTATGTTTTTATGTCCCCTCTTAATTTTTTGCTATCCTGTTACAAATTTCTAAAATACCTATAATTTCCTTCATTATTGATCATTTCATAGACACTACTAATGCATTACTACCTGTTTACAAACTTATTGTCATCCTGTTACAAACAATATGTTTAAATATAGCCTGTAAAAACAATTTTTTACATATATACATATTTGAATATATTTTTACATTCATATGATCCTCTAAGTATTTATATAATTTTTTTCTAATTATATTACAATCAATACAAATACATACATTTTAATACTCCACATAAAAATTAAACATAAATTTAATAAATACATACATTCAATAATTCAATACAAAAATTTTCTAATTAAAATTTGGTTATTTCATGCATACATTTTTCCCATAATATACATAAAACATACATAGATATAAACGTTTTCAATTATTTTCTAAATAAAATTTGGTTATATCTTGCATACATTTTTCATATTTTATAATTTTTCAAGTTCAACATGAAATGTTAAATTTTAGACCATAAGTCATTTCCTATAGTAAATAATATTTAAGTTTGATAGTAAAAATATTGTAACCTGATAGTCGCGACTATCGTTTTGTTTCGTGTTTTCGTCGGCACATATATGCTCTGCTTGCGTACATTTCATGTTCGTATATTACTGCTCGCATGGCTTCAATATTGTTGACTGCGAATAATTTGTGTAGGAAAATATTTTAATATTATAGGCAAGCCATATGAAATATATGTGGGTATTATAAATATGTTAGCGAGTTGCTGCGTAATATATTGTAAGTGAAAACATTTTATATTTGTCTGTAAGCTGTAATATGCAATAGTTTGTATGGGTAAATATTTTTAGCAAAAATACTAGAAATATTTTGAACAGAACCATTTTTTAAATATGCATATTTTTAAATATGAGGTAAATGCATATTTATTGCAAAGTCAAAAATAAAAATATAAAAGCATCTACTAATATTTAAACTCTGGTACAAACCTTCTTTTCAATTTAAAGTTCTCCAAAATTTCGAAATCAGTTGCGGTTTGGTTTTAACGAGGTTCAAAGTTCATATTTCTAAAGGTTTTTCTAAAAAGGATTAGATTTGATATTGTATCAGTGATGCCAGGAGATTTTTTCCAGAAATCCCTACGCTTATGAGAAAAAATCCCTTTTTTCCCTACACTCAATTTTTATTTTCCCTACATTTTTCCCTACACTAGTTTTTTTCCATTTTTTCAAAGTTTATCTTAAAAAAATACAAAAATAACATAAAAAACTAAAATATTAGCTCCGTTTTATAATATACATATGTATGTATATATGTATTTTTTTTAATTTTTAGGAATGAAATTTCTAGAATTTAAATTTTAATTTTTTTTTTCATTTAATTTTACATCATACAAATATTCCAACCCTGACTCTTCAGTTAAGATTAAAAAAAAACAAGAAAATTGAAAGATTTATGGCAGTATCACGATTCGATGTTAAAAATTTATTTTATGTACCTCCAACAAAAAAAATTTCATAAAATAATTATTTTGAATAAGGTTTACTTTTGCGTTTACTTTTTGCGGTTTACTTTTATAAATTTTCAGAACATTAAATTCATGTTTTCAATCCTGAGTTACTGCATTAAGCCCCCGACTACTCTATCTATAAGGAGTCAGAATATATCGCCCTGCAGGTTTGGCATAATCCAAAAAGTCGTTTCAAGAAAAATGGATATGAATATTTAATGACATTTAACAATTTTTTTAATAACTTTTAAACAAATCAAGGGATTTTAAAAATCCAGATTCAGATAGTTGAGGTTAATATGTTTCTCATCTAAATTGAAATTAAATTTTTAGTTGTCTAATATTCACGAAAACGTGGGTTTTAGTTTTTACGTTTACAAAAAATCGATTTCACATCGAAAATAATAGACATATTTGAAATTTGATAAATCTATATGAAAAATTTTAGTATGACGCATGTTTTGTAGACCTCAGTTCAAGAAACCCGAATTTTGGATTATGCCAGTCTTGTAGCGATATGTACGTACATATATTGTAGAAATTACAAGCGGAATTTTTACTAACGATACACTTAAAACTGATTTCATTTTTAATTACAACGTTTAATACATGAAAGAGTATATTTTTAGTTGTTAAAAACTATGAAATTGAAAAATCCCTACGATTTTACAATAGTAAGAAATCTTTCCCTTTTTCCCTACACGTGAAATTTTTGAAAAAATTCCCTACAAAAAGGGAAAAATCCCTACACTTGGCATCACTGTATTGTATATATTCTAACATATTTATCCGATTTTAATAATTTTAGACTGTAATTAATGCTTATGTGTTGTAGTTTGACAATACTTTATTTGAAATATTATGGTTTTACAATAAGGATATTGACATGAAAAAATGTTCTTGTGTCAAGGATATCTTAAAAAAGGTATCTCCCAATTTCATTATTCCTTTACTAAAATTATGATATCAAAACAAATCAATGTTGGACCATGAAGGTATCCACAGAAAATCTAATTTTAGTAAACTAATCTATTTTGCTTCCGTACATATTTTAAAATTTTTAATTTTATTTTTTTATAAATCAAATAAAATTTGAAAATTTCTAGTAGAGCATCTACTAACAACTATTAAAATAGAAAGGAAATTAAAGCC